TGTGTGTGTGGTGTGCGTGCGTGTGTTGTGTGTGTTGTGCGTGCGTGCGTGCTGTCGTGTGCGTGTGCGTGGTGGCGTGCGTGTGCGTGTAATGTGTGTGTGCGTGTGCGTGTGCGTGTGCGTGTGCGTGCTGCGTGTGCGTGTGTGTGCGTGTGCGTGTGCGCGTGCGCGTGCTTTTCGGTGCGGGCGCGTGCTGCGGTGTGCTGTGCGTGTGGCGTGTGCGTGTGCGTGATGCCGGTGTTGTGTGTGTGTGGTGTGTGTGTGTGTGTGTGTGTGTGTGTGTGCGTGCCCGTGTGTGGTGCGTGGCGTGTGCGTGCGTGTGGGCGTCGTGGTGTGGTGAAGCGGAGCATGCGTGCGACGAGCTTGGAGTGATCGCGCACGACTGCTCTGCTGTGGTGTGTGTAGGTTTAAGCATCCATCGGATCATGGCGGGCCACATCACTGGCTATTGCCTGTACAGTCCAGCCATGTCAGAGCGTGAACGTCATAGAAACACCGGCATGATCTACGAGACGGATAGTATTGTTCGGACACAGAAACGATTCGCCTTTTCAGTTTATCTATAACAAGGAGCTCCTCGTATGTCGAGTTACTATATATCTCGTATATGTTTCGTATGTTATGGCACGCGAATGAAATCGAATTGGTGCCTCGAAAATTAAACTTCTCGAGATAAAAGAGCTGTTCATGCAGAAAGTGCGTGTGTTGACATTCCATGAAACACGCTATTATCGACGGACCCTGTTGGTTTTATATATTCTTGATACGTAGAGATGTACACTTCTGCCGCGACCCCACTACTGACTGAAATTGCAAGTTTAACCGGCGTGTATCGCCCCGAGACGCTCAGCGGTTACCACGCTGACTACCGAGCAATGCGATGTGGTTTTGTTCGCGCTCCGTAAAATGAAAGATCGTTCTTATGTATACAAGAGGAATTCGCAACCAAAGAACAACTGCAACTGTGTTCCGTTTAAACTGAAGGTGTCAAACTGTGTGTCGAAACCTTCTCATGGTTATGTCTCCCCGCCCTCTCGACCCTCTTCGCTGTACGAAGCGTCGATATACAGCTGGGCTTATAAGTGTGCTAAATAAGGCGATTGAAAATGTCCCCTCGCCAGGCCGGTTAGTACGCGCCCGGGCCGCCGGCCGAGGGCGGTTCCGCGGGGTCCTCTCCGGCGGGGCTGCTCAAAATCTCTCAGTCCGACCACGCACCTCCGGCCGGCCGCGAGCCTAACCGGGCCCCGGAGGGCGGGGCCGCTGCGCGCTCCCCGACGACACGCCCCGATCCCCTTGCTGCCCGCCCACCCCACCCGAAAGGTGAATCCAGGTATAGGGGGGGCCACGATATTTGTAGCGCGCGGGCGGCGGCTGAGGGCGGAGGCGCCGCGACCCGGCGGAGCGCGGAGAGCGGGGGCACAGGAGAGACGCCACAGCACACCGCAGAGGGGGTAGCGGGACGCGACGGTGAAGGGTCACGCGCGCCAGGTCCCTGGAAGCCACGTGCTCTGAATAGTCAGGAGCCCTCAGCGCCCACACGGGGGGTGGAGTACCCGCCCACCCCCCCGCGGTATATTACAATATCTATACACGTGCCGTTTTCTGCTGCGGTTTGTATGTGGCTTTACATATATAAGGCGGAGTGGCTAGCTGTATACGACATATACATATCCCCAGGCATCTAATAATACGCGTGCATGTCCAGCAGCCGCTATTGAATGGCTGAGATGTATAGATCAGTTACCTTGCGAGCAGTTGGGATGATGCTCCGCGGGGCAGGCATTTCGATTTTATCTCTCCTTTCAGCGTCAATAATTGCGCGGGGATGTTTTTGCGAGCTATTCAGCGCTTGCTATATGCGACATATAGGCAAAAGAATACAAAAGAAGGTGAATAGTATGGTGGACCCATTTGCTCTCTCGCTGGGCCAGCTGATATAGTAGTGCCATTAGGTGTTTTACTCCTGCCTGGCAAGAATTATTCGCGGCCCTCGACGAAACTGCTTGTGTTCAGTGTTGTCTGGATACTGTTTATATTTGAGTTCTGATGTAATCAGGCAGAATTCCTATTTAATCTATAATAGGAGAGCACTAATCACAAGATGGCTACAAGTACATGTATAAAATATAATGGTTTTGTCCACATATTCGTAATTTGACGCTATTCATGTAACATGTCTTATTGCTAGGGAATTGAATGTTCACGGGGTTTAATGCGTAATTGTGGACAAGCGCACCTTTATCAACACCAAGTCGTTCTTAAAGTCAGGCGACACTGTAGCACTCGATGTAAACAACGTTAACGTGTGTGCTGTGCCTAACGATTTAGATTTGTGTAATTTTACCCGCGATTCCGGTCATTTTACAAAAGTTACCGTCCCAATATAAAAGGTGCTATAATAGAACTACCATTATTGTTGATAGAGCTGTAATGATAATATTACACAAAGTCTGCAACGAAAGAAAGTAAAACGATTACATGCTTGAGACAGATTGCGTGCACCCTGTTGTCATAATTACACTTGTGCGCGCAAGGTTTTTTCCTCGAGATCGGAGAACGATTTATACAATTACAACCCCCTACTATCTGACGCGGTCAAGAGAAGACAATTGCATTGACTTGCGAGCAGTAATTTAGCGCTTACAGATAACGGCAAGCGAATTCCCCTACAGTCTACACACGCGCGCGCGCGTTGCTTTTCAAAAAGCTTTGCGCAATCATTGACCGTTTGTAATGGCCGCCATGGTTCGACGGTAAATGCGCATTCTCGTAGCGCTCCACATTAATTGCGTTATCAGGTTGGTCTCAAGCGATCCAGTCGTCGGTAAAAGGAGGGCTGTTTGCACATGTTCCCGCGACAAGCTACGATGATGACTATAGCCCGCAGTAGGAGGACTGAAGCTCTGTTTTATCGCGGGCGAGATACGAACGGTGTTTTACTGGGCAATTTCACTAAAAGGAAATGCTTAGTTTGGCTCGAGCAAATGTTCAATTTGTCGCCAGCTCTCAGCCGCGCAATCTCACGTTGGCTCGTAAAGCCAACAAGGGGCAAGCGCGATTCGTCGCGTATAAACTCCCGACGATTTCATCAGCGATTTGTCCGCCGACACCGACACTAACGTCGTCGGTCGGTTCTTCTCGCTGTCGGTATAGATGTAGCTTTATGTATGCGTCAGTCTGACATATATATCATATCATATGACTCAGTCTGATTGCCAGGGCTTCGGTGCTAATATGCGGTGGGTTCAGAGCTGGTTTACGGCGTGTGTGCGGCGCGGATCAGTGGTGCCTAGTCCGTCTCGTACTCTAGCACCAGGCAATCTGCTCAAAATTAGTGGATAAGCTCACAGATTACCGCGCTCGGCGTTTTGCGTGTGCTTGCAATCTGCCGCACCGCTGCTGCTGCTGGTGTTCCGCGGATGGGCTGGTGGTGGCGCATGAAGGCGAGCCAGTACGATGCTGCTGCTGCTGCTGCTGCTGCTGCTGCTGCTGTTGCTGCCGTTGTTGTTGCTGCTGTTGTTGTTGCTGCTGTTGTTGTTGCTGCTGCAGCTGTTGTTGCTGTTGCTGTTGCTGCTGCTGCGGTTGTTGTTGCTGCTGTTGCTGTTGTTGTTGTTGTTGTTGTTGTTGTTGTTGTTGTTGTTGTTGTTGCTGTTGTTGTTGTTGTTGTTTTTGTTGTTGTTGTTGCGGCTGCTGTTGCTGCTGCTACTATACTACCGGTGCTGATATTGCTTCTACTGCCCTGATCTCGACGCTAACCGAGCTTTTGCGTCGGAGAAAAGAAAACAAAGAAACCTTTCGTTTACGGGAAGGCTTTCGCTAGGCAAATACACGCACGCGTTTATTTGTGCGTGTTCGTTATGATGAGGCTCGCTCGCCCGCTGATGTGTCCGCCGCTTCGCCGTGTATAACCGCAGCGTCCTGTCGTGCGTCTGTCTAGCTTCTAAGCATCCACCGAAAGGCTTTGATGTACCTCCTGGCTAGTCATTGTGACGGTGTGCTGCTGTGACATAGATGTGGCTTTGATAAGCGGAGCGGAAGGCACCCTCACAACTAGGGTGTCGCTTTGACGAGTCATGCATCCTAATCGGCGCAGAAGTCCACATTAAATTTTTCCACCTCACGGCTTCGTTATACTCGCGTAACGCGATCATTTTTTTTCTGTGTGTGCAAACTCGTGAAAAAATTGCCTTTCGCTATGCGCGCGTGCAGGGGCTGGTGAAGACAAAGCAGTGGTTGCGCGGTGGACACGCTGAAATCGTTGTGACAGCTTGCAAGGAAAACAATCGTAGTCGACTTTTCACGCACTGGACACCCATTTACTTCGGATTTGCGTGGCAGATTTTTATTGAAACATTGTAATTTAATTTGCTCAAGTGACGTCAAGTGTTCACTGATATGTAAATTTCATTATAATAGTGGAAGGGGTGTTTGGTTTACGTGGTCGATTCCGTAGTAATTCGTTCGCAGTTCGCACGAATTAAATGACAGCTTTAAATGACGAGCGTGAATTTGTAAAAGCTACTCACCGTATGAACACGTCTTTTTTGTCATCTTGTCATGTGCCAGTTTTCATGATTATAGTCGATAATTAATTACTCAGTCGCTCACGGTACGTCTCTATAGTAGACTATATACTTATACTTTAATCTCTTTGTGCGATCGCTGTCAGTCTGGCTGAGCTTCGTCGCTAAGGAGTTGATTGTTAAAGCTTAGGTTTCGCCACGACGAAGTCACAATCCTTGCCTCATCATCTCCTGATCCATTACAGCGCTTCGTCAATATGACACGTGTATTGTTTCTTCTTCCGACACTGTTGTAGCGAGCAACTGCTCTCTATTGCTGCCGTTACAATGTCGATGTATATATTTATAATTTAATGCCCATGTTTGCCCTGATTCTTCTTGCTAACCCAGTAACATGAGCAGTAGATAATAGAGAGATCATGTTGCTTAGCCACGTCTGCGATCGACCCTCATGACGTGGTTCTTGCTTTCTTGCAGGGCTGCTCAGAAGTTCTCCTCTCACCACCACCACCACAAGAGGAAGAAGAAGCAGCATCACCCAGCACCGGAGCCGGAGCCTTACCCCTTCCCAACCAACTTCAGCGAGCTTCTTTATAAGAGTCCACCACCGTGTCCACCATGTCTGCTGCGGCCAGTGTGCCGCAAGGACCCGACCAGTGGCCAGAAGGTAAGTAACTGAACGATAGTCTCAGTATATACAGTGTACATGCGGTGAGCGTATGAACACTCGCATATCGTACCAGTAGTATAGGTATAGCTCATCTATGTTAGAGTGCGGTGCGGTGATATATGGAACGTATTTAATGGGGTCTTCGTACTTCCCGGGTTGCCACCAGTACCAGACCAGACATGAGATTGCATACATGCACTCGCACGCACGCACGCACGCATGCACGAACGCACGCACGCACGCATGCACGAACGCACGCACACACACGCGCGCGCGAACGCACGCGCGCACACGCGCACACGCACGTATATAGTATATATATATTATGTATGTTGTACATATATATATCTATATCCTAGCACTGACTGTTCTCCAATGGAGACGTCACCTAATTCCGACCGGCTGAATGAGTGAAGGATGAATGCAGCGGTGCTGGATATTACATTGTCGTGTAATTGCTCTCGTCAAGCGCGAAAGATATTTCACACCGTAGCGCCGTACGACCGCCAGTCTCCCGTGTCGGATCACGGCTCATGATCAATTGTTTTACTACCGCCATTCTGGCAACGGGAAGTGCCGAGCTCGAAAAGAAATTTGCTGTATTACTCCTGGGGAGGCCACATTTACGGCCATTATTTCTGCGCGTAAGTGCCGTAAAACCATTAGGCAGAGAATCGCTAGCCATAAAACACATGTCACACACGCGGGGACAGAGATGCGTGTGCTGCTGCAGGCGTCAGTCACCCGGCAGCGACCACCGTAATCCCGTGTGCCGCCGCCGCCGCCGCCGCTATCTTTATTAATGAAAAATATTGCGCTGAGAAGGCTTTACCGAGGCAGCAGAAGCAGCAGCAGCAGCAACAGCAGCAGCAGCAGCAGCAGCAGCAGCGCAAAGTCGCGCATTGTACGCATCGTGCAAGAGCCTCGCGATTCGTACGTACGGCGCATATCTTGCGATTATGCGACGGCGAATCACGCGTGTATACGATTATAACCCTCGGTGGGAGTGACGGACCTGGCAAGCACGCATGTTAATATCGCACGTACCTGCTGCTGCGTGCTGCGTGAATGCGCTGCTCGCCGCAGGTTTCCCTCCATCTAGCTATCGCGCGCCGCTGTGGGGCTTTGCCGAGAAGAGCTTTGTTATAGAGGTGTACTGCAGTGAGAATCTCTTACATGTACTAATAATACTCGCAGCAGTGATATTAGCTTCTTAGCAGCAGCAGCAGCAGCAGCAGCAGCAGCATCAGCAGCAGCAGCAGCAGCAGCAGCAGCAGCTTCCTGCTACTCGAGGTCTAGTTGATGACAGACAGCTCAGGTGTTGGCAACCACACGCACGCACGCACGCACGCACGCAGGCACGTACGCACGCACGCACGCACGCACGCACACACAAGCGCACGCACGCACGCGCGCACACACACACACACACACACACACACACACACACACACCACGCACGCACGCACGCGCACGCACACACACACCACAAGCACGGCGCGCAGCGACACAGACCAACCCACACGCACCGCAGACATCAACCACAAAAACACAACACACACACACACACACCACACCACACGCACGAACAACACAGGGGTGAGGTAGGGAGCGAGAAGTAGCGAAGGGGGAGTAGGAAAGAAGGAAAGAGGGAATCTGGAGGAAGAAGGAGAGAAGTGGAAAGGGGAATAAGGAGAGCGAAAGAGGAGACTGAGAGAAAGTTAGAGTGCGGGCGCACGCAAGAGAGACGAGGAAAAGGGGAGAGGGGGAGTGAAAGGGCGAGAGAGAGAGATAGAAAGAGCGAGCGAAAAAGAGAGTGAGAGTGAGGGAGAGAAAACGAGAGAGAGAGAGAGAGAGAGAGAGCGCGCGAGAGAGAGAGAGAGAGAGAGAGAGAGAGAGAGAGAGAGAGAGAGAGAGGCGCGCGAGAGAGAGAGAGAGAGAGAGAGAGCCGTCACGGACTTACGAGGGGTACTTCTGCGTCTAATTAAACGGTTCCTTCGAGAAATGGGGCAAGGTAATTTCCGCTTGATGATGTATGGCCGGCATATAGCTGCACTGCCTGGAGCAGCCTGCAGGCTCGATCGACACAAGCGGCCTTCCCCACGCAGCACTACGTGTATATATATATACTCTGAGTAGCTCAGAGGGTAAGTTCAGGCGCGCATGCGGGGGGTGTGGATGCGGCTGTGTACTGCGTGCTACAATACACATCTAATCATGCGCGGTCCATACCTACCTACCCGCCTGCCTACCTGCCTGCCTACCTGTCTGCCTGCATGTCTGCCTGCCTGCATGCTTGCCTGCCTGCCTGTTTGCCTGTCTACCTGCACGCGTTATGGTTAGTAGTCGTTCCGAAATGAGTTCCCGTCTGGACGATATATTTTAATTAAACTCCATTTGCCGCATATACGCGTTGCGTGCTGCGAGTACAGAGTTTCTTTGGAGATATTTATTCCCAGATCAGTCGCGCTATTTTCATTCAAATTAGCTCACTTTTCGTAACAACGCGGGCTTTGACTCGGTCACTGAATCATACCTGCAAGGTATGTTTAACCCATCAATAGCGTTATATAGTTACTCGTTTAGTTACCAAAAAAGCCCAGATGGTTTCTATGGGAAAAAAACACCAACCGAAGATGATCCACTCTGAAATAAAGATTGCCCCTCGAAGGCAGCAGGTGCTTATGAGAAAACAGGGCAGCAACGCGGTTGGCATTACGAAGTTTTCCCTTATATCGAACCGAAGTCATATATATATATATATATATAAGCTAGGGTCAGCTCTGACGCAGAGTGCTTCCAATTAGGCCGTGTGCTTGATCGCGGATAATTAAGATGCTCTGCCCGCGAGGCAGAAATAAGCGCATGCGGCTAGCCGATACACCTTGCCTCACTCATCACGTGTAGTGTAGGTGGGGATAGGGGGTGCGAGCGCCCGCGTAGACCCTGATGCAAACCTCTACCTCTACCTATCCGTCATCCGACAGTGTCAGCCATCAATTCATTAGCTACGTTATTATGCACGTAGTACTATTATGCACGTAGTACTATTATGCACGTATATACGGCGTTGTTCGGCTTACGGAACGCGTACTAGACAGAGTTAAATAGTGTGGTGGACCCTATTAAAGATCTTTTACGGTTATCGCCCATGAAGATAGAATATTACGCACGCTTGCATGCCCGCACGCACACGCGTACGCACACACACACGCACTCACACACACACACACACGCGTCCCTGTGTGCAAAGTAGTACAGCAGGCATGTGCTTGTAAGGGTAAGCAAAGGCGTTGCCTTCCAGCATAGCCCCAAAAAAGTCAGCCGAGTCAATTGCCTATAATAGTCGCTAACAAAGAAGTTGGCCGCCGGCGTGATTTTTCGGCAAGGAAAGTAGCAATTTGTAAATCAACACCCTAAGTAGAAAATGACGGGTCATCGTTAGTGGTGCGCCTAACTAACCCGATTAAGGTCTGCAGGTGCTCCCCCCGGCCGGGCATCCCACATCGCGCTAAATTAACAAGTGGGTCCTCCATGATAGCCGCTATTTACCGCCGCCTCCCCCGCTATTACAATTATGTAATAGTAACTCTTTACTCGGGCGCCTGCGGGTTTTCCAAATTAGGCGAACAGCGGGAGTGGGAGGGAGGGGGAGATGACGAATTCTGTTGCATGCTTGCAGTCGCGGCCCGTCGTCCGACTGTTCACTGCCTGTACGGCATTTCTGCGAGGTTTTGCTTGCCCGCGAATACAAATACGAGTGCATGTACCTGAAGAACGAAAAAAACCCGGACTGTTCTCTACGAGGGGGAATTAATTGCAGCTCATTGCGGAGTGGTGAGCTGAACCTGTCCGCTTGCCCACCCCTTGCCACCAGCACCACCACCCACCCCTTACCGCCAGCAAAACCACCCACCCCTTACCGCCAGCACCACCACCCACCCCTTACCGCCAGCACCACCACCCACCCCTTACCGCCAGCACCACCACCCACCCCTTACCGCCAGCACCACCACCCACCCCTTACCGCCAGCACCACCACCCACCCCTTACCGACAGCACCACTACCCACCCCTTACCGCCAGCACCACCCACCACCCTATTCTTCAAACACCATCAACACTATCTCCTCCTCCTCTTATTCCAGCAACACCTCCAACACCACCCTGTAACGCCATGTCGATGTCCCAGTGATTTGTTTGCAACCATCGACTATCCCTTCCTCTTTTTCAAATACCAGCAACACCGCCACCACATCCTCCTCCTCCTCCGCTTATTCCAACAGCACCTCCAAACACCACCCTGTAACGCCATGTCGACGTCCCAGTGATTTGTTTGCAAGCGTCGACAGCTGAAATGAAATGGCAAACAACAGCCGAGGGCTGCGCCTGAAATGTAATGGACCTGCTGTCTCCCTCTGGGCTATATAGCTAGCTGCGGAGAGCACACCCACATGTCCTATATGGCTAGGGCGCCACCTGTGCTATTTGTCTGCGGCGCCATAATAGAGCCTAATAGACTTCGCTGACATACTTTATTGAAGCAGAATTAATGATGCCAGCACTTCATAATTTTGAGATTTGTCACCGCTCCGCGAGCACGCGCGCGTGTTGTATTTGATTCGCTAACGACGGGGGCAGCAGCAGCAGGCTGGCAATCACTCTCGCATTCATCACCGCGCCCACACATCGCTGTATTGTGCTCAGAATCGTATATCGGAGATTCAGTTTGAGAATGATCTGTGACGCAGGGCGCGGGCGTCACATACACGAGCTGTACACATCCATCCGCTAGCCATGCACCAGTGATATGAATTGGCCGTTGTCTCGTGAAACCGCACGCGTATTTCTTCGTCTGCCCACCACTGTTGTACGCGGAGTGACAACGCCTAATGAGATCTAAGAATCGGCGTGGATTTGGCGCGAGCTCTCGGCTTTGAGCGTTGACCGATAGATTTGCGTGACCGGATGAGAAACGTCCCCAGGTGTCGCGTTCGC